GAACACCTTGGGATTTCCTCAGAGGAGCTGGTCCAAGTGGCTGGAGAGAGGGAAGTCTGGGTCTCTCTGGTTAGGCTGCTGCCCCCGAGACCTGACCCCGGATAAGAGGAAGAAAAYGGACGGACAGACCGATGGAGGTGGCCATCTCGAATTATGACCTTTCCTACACCTAGATGCAGCCACACAYCGAAATCGAAGTTGACAACTCACTTATTTTGCAAGTTATTCAGCTCACAAGATGGTTAGACTTTCAGAGGGTATTTCCAGTTTGCTCCRTGAAGGACAAAAACGATTACTCATATCTCAACATCGTGTTTTTTATGCAAATTGCTCCATTTTCCCAACAACATGCAAAAGAAATTATCTAATTATTCACAGTCTCCAGTCATCACCTTTTATAAAAGCAGAAAAAAAGTTAGTTCTTTGTGACCATACCAACTTATTAAGAGTTAAGTACAACAATTTATTTTAAGCACCAACAAATTACCAAAGTCTTTTCTTTCCACGTGTCCAATCAAAGATAATCAGGGTGTTTATAATTATTTATATATGTACTGCAACTTAAAGCATCAAACACAATCGTTTAAAGTCATCAAGACAAGTGCTGAGCCATGCTGAGCTGATCAATTATTCAACATCATACTCCATCAATGACTGACAATGGTTTTATTAAAAGACAAGACTTATTATGTATTTCCAGTAAAGCCTAAGGTCAATTCTCTGGAAAGCATGCTGCATTTCATTCTGCAGGTTTCTTCTCAGTTAGGAGAACATATTAACCAGAACATATTAAATCAAAGATATTTATTTAACTTTATTTGATCTTTTCAGTCTTAAATTCCAGTCCTGCTTGTTGCTGATCAATAAAAGTGAGGTATGACCACGTGCCTCGCTGCATGATGCAACCTATTAGGTAAGTTCAAGGGGTAGTTGAGAGGTTGTGAAACGTCGAGCTTTTTGCAACGCATAAGTCAGTAAGAGACAGAGTGAAAGGGAGTGTCAACGTTCAGAGTCCTGTAGGCTGTAAGTCGAGTGGAAAAAACAAACAAGCTGCACGGCAAAAACAGGTGAAGTTCAGACGACTACACAACACGAGCGCACGTTTGTTGCTTCAAACAAGTATCACAGGAGCTGCAGAAGGACTGAGGACACGTGGCTGCTTCTCAGGTTGAACAGATTCGTCTCCTCAGTCCAAACACAGCAAGGGGACAATCAAAGAAAGTAACCTGCTTACACCGTGTGTCACGGTGGTATCCCAGGAATAGAAAACATTTGCACCACCCTGATAACAGCTAAGTGTCTCAGCTGCAGACTCATTGCTCCCAGAGTGAGAAAAGACAGAAACAGCAGCAGACTCTGTACGTCAAGTGAAATAAATCTGAGTCATCCTGAGAGGCCAGCTGAAGCACCACCACGCCAACAAACATCAAAACGAACAAGAGAACAAGTTCAAACTTGCCTTGCTGCTGAAAGGATGATTTAACATGAAGCCCCGCATCTTCGCTCGGCTTCTGTTTGATGTGCAGGCCGAGAGAGAAAAAACAACACAAAATAAAGTGTTTTCCTCCGTCAATCATCCATCAAGTCATCTGTCTGTCCGGCCATCTCCTCTCCTCTCCCTGCCTGCCTCGGTGGAAGAGACCTCTCAGATCGACTCAGCACTTCTCTGCCTCGAGCTGGCATCACATGACAAGGGTGGAACACACACACACACACACACACAC